TTGAAAATACAACTAATAGTACTTTGACAACTAATTCTAATTTATTCAACGATTTTCAATTTAATTGTAGATTGTAACGAGTATTTTTTTGTTCACACAGCAACATATTAATAGAAAACGAGAGAAAAAAAAAATAGTTATAAGCCTAATAGTTCAGTTGTTAAGAAGGGCACGTGAAGAAGCTGAGGCTTTATACCTGATCTTTAAAAACTATCTATCTTCTCCCTTTTCTTTGTTGGCCGAATATTTTCTAACGTTTTCTTACTTTCGTGATTTATACAGAGGGGATATTCAAATTATAATACAACTTAGGCCTACTAAAAAGTACATAATATCACCCAGAGTATTTTACAGATGCAGATAAACTTTATTTTGTAGCTAATTCACCAATACGCTATTTTCAAAACCATTGTTATAAATTTGAGAATGGAACCATTTTTACGTTTACGTAGGTACATCCTGAAAAGGACCTAATAGTCCTAAGCGCCGGGTAACAGGGGCACTCGTCTCGAATTGGGTTAACAGCAAATAATTTGGAAGTATCTCCCCTCCCAACCGACTAACATCATTCCAATAATTGTTAAAATGTTAATTATGCAAACAACAAAGGCAATTCAGAATAGGAGTACAATTTTATCAATTCTTGATGTTCTACATGTTTAAATTTAAAAGATCTCATTATTAAACTGCCTGCACATAACTCATCTCCAATTATTCATTCCATTTACATCTATATATCCTTTAGCTACTTTCATACATGATTTCTCTACATTCTCTTAGATTGTCGAGCCCGTATAATTCACAGGTGCTTATATTTTGTAGGGATTTTCTTCTTTATTTGTTAGTATGTCACCGAGTGCAGCTGTTAATTGCAGTACAGTCTCCATCAATTTTCTTTTCTGAATAATCACTATCTAGAGACTGTAGTTTAGGCATCACTATGCTACATCTATACTGTCTTCATTTCGTGTTATTAATCTGTTCCCAAGGCTATGGAAAAACTACCGGCTAATGTGAAAAACTCTAACTTTATATTTCTCCTCTTTAAATGCTGACATGCTATGAACTTTGACCTAGTTGTGATAGCATGTGCAGTCTCTATAATGGATTATAGCAAAGTTCCTCTTTATTATACTGTTACTCTTCTCATGAAGAGATATATTTTTATATTTCTAGTTTTTTTGTGTTATTTCATTAATTATTTCATCGCTCAGTAAAATACAATAAAAAAAAGTGATCTTCATGAAATAGCGCCATATAGGTGATGCTGCTAATTATACTACTACTAATCTACGTTTACTTCATTCGTATTAATACAGTATTAATAATTTTAGTTACAAACAAGGTAATGGTAATAATATAGTAGATTCTGCATCTGCGAAATGCTTAAAAGATATAAATCGAAATCAATGTAGATCTTTACGAGCTATTCAAATACAAGTCACACGTAAATTACACGCAAATAACACCGAGCGCGTATCAAACACAACACGTTTATATTTTTATCATGCACAGCGGATTGTAGTATAGTTTTAAGTGACAACCACTTTAAGTTGTTAAAAATGCTAATATTTATAGCAATTTGTATTTTGAATTTGAAAAAGGTAATAATATTTTTATATCAATTTTTCTAATTGTTAAATATCGCTTACAATTTTATAATTGCTCATCTACTCAGAGCCATGGTTCCCCGTCATGCGAAGTATTGCAAAAAACAACAGTAGATATATGAATTTGATTTATATTTTTTATCACGAGATTAGTTTTGTACTAGGCCTACTATTTGTTTTTGTTATTGCAGTCAAATTTGTAATCAACTGAAGTCCATTATTCTTATTATTATTATTATTATTATTATTATTATTATTATTATTATTATTAATAATAATAATAATTAATATATTACGGTATATATATTTATATATATTATATATATTTAAATATATTAATATATTTTTTATTAATACAAATATATATATATATATTTATATATATTGACAATAACTGAATAATTTACTTTGTGTTTTGCAGCTGGTTTTGCATAAAATTGAAATAAACATCATCGCTATAAATATAAAACACGGAATAGAATTAGCTGACGAATGTTTCTCATGAGATGTGACAACAGCTGCTAAAAGACAAGCAATGTAAATGCGGTATGAATTTGCGGCTTCTCTTCGTTCACATCATGTAGAGTAGATAGTGGAGCCCAAGTTGGGTCCCGTGGGAACACTTTGCATGCCCATCCATCATCTACTTAGGCCTAATTAATCCTTTTTTATCATTCATAATGATTTATTCATAATCTGTTAATTTATATTTTTACAAAAAATATAAGACAGTTTTCTGGTACTTCTTCCTACAATTTTATAACAATACCAACACGATACAATAATGTTTAAGAGAAAACATTTCTTTTTTTCAACGAACTTTGTATATAGATTTACCAAAAATAGTGGGAAACTAAATTAAATAAATACTAATAACTATATCGTTATATTATCGGCCTATATTTATCCTCAATAATATAATATGAATATTTGAACTACTATGGAAAAAATCTAATAAAATACAAAAAGACTATTTATATAAGTAAAAATGTATATTTATCGTGTACATTTCGCCCTCCAAGTCGGGACCACCAACACAACACCAACACAACCCTCCTTAATTTTTTAAAAATAAAAAAAAAAATTGAGAAAAAAAAATTAACTCATATTTTGAGTCATTTCCGACCATCTAGAGGTGCCATAATCACAAATTTTCAATACTCGGCCCCAACCATGGTGGAGCTGAGGTAGTACAGACCCTCTCTGCACCCCTCCCCTCCCCCATTCCGAATTCCTGGATCCGCCAATGAGAGCTTCCTGTGATCATCTTCCCCAACCTAACCTTACTCAAATTCAACATAATATTCATTATAGTGGTACCATATTATTTAATGAACTTCGAAATGACATTTTATCCCCTACCTCATGGAAATGTTTTTCTGAAAAAGTCAAAAAATTTATTTTCTCAAATTATTACTCCTTATCTTAACTTTTATAATTTGTGTTATTATGCTTCCTGATTGTTACTTATCCTTTAATTTAATTTTATTTATTTTTATTTTTTGTTTTGATTTGTTTTGTTTTGTTTTTTGTTTTGTTTAGTATCTGTTTCATTGACCAATTGATTTTACCGTCTAAAGCATTTGCTTCTTTCTTGATACTTTAGAAACTATTCTTATAGTATATATTTATTTTTTTTATAGATATATTTTGAATTTGTAAATTAAGGGGTGTTAGACAAAAACTCGGGAGTGCTTAATATCATACACATTTTTGAATATTTAAAAACTGGTCCCAAAGGTGCTGACGAATAGGATAGCGAACTGCAGAAACTTATTTAAGAGCTCACACTGACAACATGTTGCAAGGAGGAGCGCCTGTTAATGGACCTTTCCACTAAGCTCCGCCCCTTGGATTTTGTTGCTAAGGTCCCACAAGACGGCAGTGTTAAAACATACGCGAACACGTGTAGTCCACCAGAAATACGGATTTGACTGGACAAAATTGCAACAAAACGTTTTATGGTCTAAATATAAACTTAATTATATGTAAAACAACATACTAAAAGTTTACCAAAATAGGACGTACATAAAGGTGTTTTTTATAA